ATATCCATCAATTTCTAACACACAACATGTAAACCCAGTTTTCCAACGTAATACAAATTTGGTACTATTAGATTTGTAATCAAATAAGCTATTCAATAATCATGAATAATATAATATAAAATAAATAAAAGTATAATTTAAGAGACCATGTCAGTAAACCGGAGGGAGTAGTATTAAATAGATATATAGCACTGAGCACCAAAAGCGTCACACATGACACGATGCTCTGGTTGTTGGGTGCTGGGTTTCTTTATAATTTCTGCAGACAGCGAGCATTCGGTGCAGCGTCTAAACTTCACCTATTGTTTCTGCGCTTCCAACAAAAGAAAACCAGCACCCAATAAGCAGCCTGAATGTATTACCGTTCTTGTCGAATGGGAATGGGGAATCTCCCCGTGTCGAAAAAAGATAAGCAGCCTGAAGACTTCAAAGTCCGTGTTTGGAGGGGAGGGGGGTTGTAATGTAACTATGTGAGGCGGGCAGGGGATGCAGTGATGAAGACCTTTCCAGCTTCCACAACAGTCGATCATGATCCGAATATTTTTGTAAACACATATGGATTCCAAATATTTATAGATCGATGCGTACTATATAATACTGAAATATACTACTATGAAACAGCTAGCTACCGGACAATACGCTGACAGGCCACATGGTTACTTGAATAATAATCTCTCCATGGCATGCTGCAGTTGACCCGTCGACCAAACCACCTCACCTCGACACCAAAATCTCAACTTCTCGTAGCAATCCATCGTCCGCGCAGGAGCTGGCATCGTCTTGTGGTTCCTCCTTTCTTGCTTAGCTTGCGGATCGACAGGACCTGCACGTTTAATTTCTCCAGCTTGTTGGTGAGTAATAAGCATGTATTTCTACTAGCTAGATAGTTTCCTGATCCAGTAGGCTGTGGCTGTGGCACTAGGAGCATCAGCTACTATTGCTTGCATTGGTCAATTGGTGGCTTCCGCTAATTGTGTTGGTGTGGTTGTGGTTTTCACTCCCTCTACGCAGATGCATCATACTCGGATATACAGATCTTCCGTTCCGGTGGGTCGTTCCTTATTATAGTTTCTTCTTCCTTGCGAACGTACAGCAACATGGGATCTATCGGTTGCTAGTCCCTGGAGTTAGCACCGAGTGTGTGTTCCCAAAACTACTTGGGAACAATCAAATTGTTCTGCTCGCTCGTTTCTCCGATCCAGGCAGTGACTCGGATATACGTTGATCCGCCGACAAAACACCTCACCTCCACCGAAATCTCGACTTCTTCCTCGTGACGCCATCCATCTATCGTCCGATCCGCGCCGGCGCTGGCATCGTCTTGTTCTTCCTTTCTTGCTTAGCTTGTTTCCTCCAGCTTGTTGGTGAGTAAGCATGTACTATATTTGCTTTGCAATATTATATCGGTGGGATCCGCTAATGGTGGTTGTGCTTTTTCGATCTCCCTCGATCTATGCAGACCGCAGACGCATCATATATATACATACGCGGATAGATCTTCCGTTCCGGCGGGCCAGTGGGTGCATACCAACAGATCGAGGGCAACATGGGATCTCTCGGCTAGTCTCGCTGGACTTAGCACCGATTGTGATTTGTGTTGCCAAAACTACTTGGGAACGATCAAATTCTTCAGCTCGCTCGTTTCTCCGATCCAGCCACAGTGAGTAAACAAGATCTTTTACATAGCTAGTTTTCGCGATCCACCAGTAAACAGCAGCACCTGCAGTATATATCGTCTAGGCATTGTCTGGACTTGAGCACACATCGTGGAACCTGCAAAACCACACGCTGCAATGTCTCTACAAAAACCAAATAAACCCTCTGCTTCAGAAGCTACTGGGCACTCAGGATTTCACGGGTTTGCAGAAAAAAACCAAGTAGAAGTAGCGCTAGCTTGCCCGGGTGGAATGCACGTCAGGGCAGCATATCTTAGGTTTTGGTCAAAACATTAAATAAGTTTTGGGCATTTTGAGGTGGTTTAATTTCTAGCACCATATGGACCTATCTCCACAAAAACATGGCATGCGAGAGCATCGAAAGAGAAAAGATTGACCATACAAGTTTTTTTTTTTTTTGGCTGGGTGCTTAGCAATTAGCAGCACCGGTCCTGACAAGTAAATCCATGTATGCATTTCTTATTGTTGCTGCTAGTAGTTACCCAAAACATGTCACACTGAAGGCTGACAGCTTTAGTCAGCAGCACCTTGCTTCAATGCTGGCTCCATCCCTAATTACAGTTGGTTCTTTGTTACTCCCTCCATTCCAAATTGTAAGACATTTTGGTTTTTTTAGATACATAGTTTTTTTTTCTTGAATACGCAAAAGATTTACACATCTTTCGTATTAAGATCGAGAAATAGTGAAAATTACAATGATGCGCCATGGATATGGCACACTAGGGGGAATAGTGTTATACAATCCATTCTACCATCCCTAGCAGAAGAAAATCATGTGCTATTACTCACTAATCATGCTACGTAACCAGCATCGGCAGTCAGACACGCTTGCTTGCGTGGCGCTGGCGCCTCACCTGCTCTCCTTGTGGATTAGGGAAGAGCTGTCGCATTGCCTCTACATGCGTGGGGTTGAACTGGTCGACGAAGCTACTATCGTAGGCGTTCTTGGCTGCCGTGGTCGTCTGTTCGTCGAGGATCCCCATCCGCTTCATCATCAGCACCTCTCCTGGCTTAGAACTAGGGACGCGTGCGTGAAAGTGCCTAGGCGACGATCCTCCTGCTACAGGTTGGCAACTTTGGTTGTGCCTGCACAATCGGCCGAGGGAGCAGCGGCGATGGCGCCTTACGCAAGATCTTGTCGGTGAAGCGCTTGAGCCTCTTGGCGGCAGAGCTCCCGCTATCAGCCGAACAGGGAGGGGTTGCCACGTCGGCGCCTGGGGGGATGGCGCCGGAGTCTAGGCTTGCCTTGGTAACCACGACACCGTGTTGTCCCTACCAGGGTGGCGTGACATGTGGCGACCGCTGCACAGGCGACAACGAAGGTGAGTCCATCGTCCACAAGAGAGCCTTCGCCGGTGAACGGTTGTCCACCAACGATGCTTCATCTTCCTAAGAGGTGGCCGTAGCAGGCGGGCACCCTGGTCCTGCAGTGCAGGCTAGCAGACGATGAGCGAGGCAGTGAACTCCTCTAGCATTGGGTCGACCCACGCGGGAGGCCCCGCGCTCTCCCACAGCTCCAACACTAGCGGATCCAGCTAGGGGAAGCAAAGTGCAGCAGCAGAGGTAGCAGCGTTGTCGTCATGGTCGATAGGCGCACCCACTCTGCTGTCCTCTGTTAGCTCGCTCTGGCGTCGCCAGTGTCGTCGTCGGACTCTGCCGGCACTCCACACGACACCCTGTGCGGCCCCATCCAAGCGCGGTGGAGCGTTGTGGGGTGCGTGCTAGGAGGCCGTCGGGCCATGGGGCGCGTGCTAGGAGATCGTTGGGTTGCCACCACGAGCGGGCATGGGCCGCTTGCAGTCCCTAGTGAGGTGATGAAAGTTGTGGCAGCGCAGGCAACGCCGGACAATTCGCAAGTCGCTACTTAGTGCGACTAGGAGAGGCAGTTGAAACATCTGCCATGAAGCTCTGCGGGGATCTTCTGGGCCTGTGGAAGCTGCTTTGGACCGCGGCAAGGCTCAACCAAGGCGGCTGCAGGGTCCTGTCTCTTGCCGGGGGAGGATTTCAAGCCACCCATAGGCATTGGGGATGGAGACCCGTCATGGTGGCCAAGGCGTTGGCGGGTAGGGACATGGCCATCCATGGGACGAGCAGGCATGCCGCACAGCAGCTATGGGCGCGGCCGGCTATGCTTCCTCCACCTCCGGCCAGGTCCTTTCTGGCCAGGGTCGGCTCCACCGTGGCCCATAACCGCGATAGGGCAAACCTGGGCGCTTGCGGTTGGCGCACTGACCGCCTTTGTCGGGCGACGAGCGACGTCTAGGTAGGTTGTGGGGTGGTCATCGTCGGACTCGTCGCCACTGTCGTCCACCCACCAGCAGCGTATGGATCACCCACCCTAGACTGGGTAGAAAGGAGCCACGTCCGGTGAAAGGGGGGAGCTAGGGGTGGCTCGTGGTGGCGCGGCGGCAGGATGATGGGACAGCGTCCCCGGAGGTGGCTGCACCTACCCAGTCCCCGTCACGGCTGACGGTCACCGTCCGGCGCAGGCGGCGGCATGTAGGGGTCGGATCTGGCCCGTACGTGCGGCCCCGTGGCGGTCACGGTATGCCCCGGCGGCGGCTGCAGAGGGCTGCTGCTAGAGGTGGTGGCCGCCACGGTGGGGTCTGGCGTCATCCGCGTCTACGGTGGGGTGGGGAGGGCGCCGCTGCAGAGGAGGTGGTGGCCACCGTGATGGGGATGGCACCGCTGCAGCTGTTGGAGATGGAGATGGCAGCCGTGGTGGCGGGGCTAGACGTCGACAGTCGCGCGGGCGGCGCTCCGTCGCCAGACCCCACAAGGGTGGGCTCATTGGCGGCAGCGGCGCAGGCGGGCCGAGATCCCACGAAGGCTCACCGGCGCTGGTTGTCGCGGGGTGTCGGTGTGTGGGAGGGGAGGGAGGAGGAGGGGGGGGGCTTGCACTGCTGCCGGCGGCAGTGGCGGCGTTGCTGAGATTCGCCGCCTAGGGTTCGCGCTACTCGTGGGCCTCACTGTTTTTACAATATTCTTTGAGTGCACGGGTTCTAGATACATAGTTTTTTTGCTATGCACTTAGATATATACTATGTCTAGATACATAATAAAGGCAATGCATCTAGAAATGTTAAAATATCTTATAATTTAAAATATAGGGAGTACGTTTTAGTAGATCGGACGAAGTAATATACATTTGGGATGTTGTGAAAAAAAAAGAATATATATCTTTGGGAGAGCACAGGGGCGCTCATATCATTTTTTTATGAAAGGCCACCCATATCATTAATCAGAATACCCTAATAACAATCTCTGTTTAACACAAGTATTAAACATAATTTTCCCTCTAAAGCAGGTTCCACGTAAATAGGAATGGACAGCCGTGAGATATTGGAGTTGGAGAACAAGCTTCTTGATCCGACCACAGAAGAACCAATTTCTCTACCCCTACACTTTTTGAGATCGATAACAAATGGTTTTAGCAATGAGCAAGAACTCGGGAGGGGTGGGTACGGAGTAGTTTACAAGGTAAATATGATGAATTCTTTCTCGCTCCAACTCACAAATAAAAATGTTGGCAGCCATATTTAATCACAATTACTCTATGTAGGGACGACTTCTCCACCATGGCGATTCATTTATTGCTGTGAAGAAGTTTCATGATAGTCATGTAGTGAAGGGTGATGAACAGTTCCAGAAAGTGGCCACTTCTCTTATCAAACACCCAAATGTGACACAACTCCTAGGTTACTGTTCAGAATCAAAGGGAGAGATGATCAAGCTACCGAACGGGAAATGTGTTATTGCTGATAAACAGACAAGAATTCTCTGCTTCGAGTATATGTGTAATGGAGGCCTTGATAAGCATCTTTCAGGTACGTTTCAGAAACACGGGATGACGGACATACATTTATCATCTCCCTATTTTTTTCTCATTTTCTCAAGCTTAAATTGTTAGAACACACCTTGTAGCCACAATCAGCAGAACACTGAAATATGTTACCTGCACCCAAAAAAGGTTGTTCTAGTTTGAGTCAAAATATCTTAGATTTAAACAAGTATAGTATACAATAAACATCTTAAATAAATAAATAAATATATTGCCTCAATATTTATAGTACTAAATAAGATCCATCATGAAATATATCTTGATAGTATCTCTATTTGGTGTTATAAATGTTGATAGTCTTCTTTATAAATTTGATCAAACTTAAATTTACTATCTAACTAGAATAACTTTGTTTTTGGACGAGCTAGAAACTAGATATTACTATTACTGCTACTCAACCACACAAAATGTGTTCCATTGCTCTTCTTGTTAAGCATGGATGACAAGATTAATTATGTCAAGAAAAAGTATTTCTACAGATGAATCTTCCGGTCTTGAGTGGAACACGAGATACAAGATAATTAAGGGAATTTGCCACGGTTTGAATTTCCTTCATGGGTATAATATTATTCATCTGGATCTTAAACCTCAAAATATATTAATGGATGCTACTATGATGCCAAAAATTGCGGATTTTGATTTGTCAAGGTTGTTGGGTGAACAAAAATCCCAGACTGTCACTAAAACTGCAAATCCCCCCGGAACCAGGTAAGCTACACCCCACAACAAATACCGTTTGCTTTCTTAGTAATATATTAATGGTCTCAATTATGCTTGCACCATCTCAAACTCTTGATGTCTACTGCAGGGGATACATGGCACCAGAATACATAGACAGGGGTGTAATCTCAAAGAAAGCAGATATATTCAGTTTGGGTGTCATAATTATAGAGATACTCAAAGGCTGCAAGGACGACTATCCAGACTATGGCCAAAGCACCGAAGTTTTCCAGCACTTCACAGAGAAAGTAATAAGATGAAGTAACGAATATTCTGCATGTGTAGTATCGCTCTAGCTCACTTATTATATATGCAATTGTGTAGGTGCTCAGTAATTGGAGGAACAGATTCGAAAGATCATCGAAGTATACATCGCCAGAACTACATACCCAGCTAGTAAAACAATGCATCAACATAGCTTTGGAATGTGTGCACCCTGAGAAGGAGAAAAGGCCAAATGTATCAAATATAATTGAAATTCTTAATGCAGCAGAAGGAAGTTGTGTTCAAAATGGTGAAGATTTACTGGTAGATCACCAGGTATGATACTCTCTCCATCTCCAAATAAATCAATTCCAAGAATCCGTTCAAGTTAAACTATCTTAAGTTTGACTAAACTTTATAGCAAAGAGTAACAACATCTATGAAATAAATGAGCATATTATAAAAATATATTATATGGTATATCTAGTGATAATAATTTGAAAATATATTCTATGGTATATCTAGTGATAATAATTTGATGTGATAAATCTTGATAGTTTTTTTTTAGAAATTCGATCAAAGTTTAAATTTTTTGACTTAAGACAACTCTTGGAATCTATTTATTTAGGGACAGAGGGAGTATCTTATATCCCATTGAGTATGCGGTCCTTTATGCACTTTATTGCAATATTAGACGTGAAAAGTGTCCTACAATTTTGGAATATGCTATTTTTTGGGTATAGTCATGACATGTGCCTTAGTTCTTTTTTTCTTAATAAAAATCACTTGATATACATGAAATGAATGAAATGTTTCTTTAGTGAAAACCGACAGATAATGTGTGGGAAATATCCATCAATAACATTTCATTTTCATTATTTTTTAGTTATAGATGCAAATGTGGAAGCTCAACTATTTCTTGAGATACCAATCAACATGAACTATGAAATAAATGAGCATATTATAAAAATATATTATATGGTATATCTAGTGATAATAATTTGAAAATATATTCTATGGTATATCTAGTGATAATAATTTGATGTGATAAATCTTGATAGTTTTTTTTTAGAAATTCGATCAAAGTTTAAATTTTTTGACTTAAGACAACTCTTGGAATCTATTTATTTAGGGACAGAGGGAGTATCTTATATCCCATTGAGTATGCGGTCCTTTATGCACTTTATTGCAATATTAGACGTGAAAAGTGTCCTACAATTTTGGAATATGCTATTTTTTGGGTATAGTCATGACATGTGCCTTAGTTCTTTTTTTCTTAATAAAAATCACTTGATATACATGAAATGAATGAAATGTTTCTTTAGTGAAAACCGACAGATAATGTGTGGGAAATATCCATCAATAACATTTCATTTTCATTATTTTTTAGTTATAGATGCAAATGTGGAAGCTCAACTATTTCTTGAGATACCAATCAACATGAAGGTTAACTTTTTAAGAAAAAAAATCACTTGATATGCTTGTAATGAATGATATGTTTCTTTAGTGAAACCCGACAGATAATGTGTGGGAAATATCCATAAATAACATTTCATTTTCATTGTTTTTTAGTTATAGATGCAAACCAGCAGTTCAACTATTTCTTAAGATACCAATCACATGAAGGTTAACTTTCTAAGAAAAAAATAAGAACCTTAATACCACCAGGCTCACTTTGTAAGATGAAGAGAAAAACAATCCTATTTTATTCTTATCATCTTACACTATAGACTTCTAGGATGAACATTAAATCGTACAGCATAATAATGGCAAATTATTGTTCCCGCTGGTTACACTACTAGATTAATATAAGCCTCACCTTATTATTCTAGGCTTCCTTAGGGTAATCAAGTATATTGATGTTAGCTAGGTGGTTTCATTGAGTATCATGTAACGTTAGAATATAATATCCATAGTTATGTGTAATAGCCCTTGGGTCTTTGAAAAGGATATATTGTGAGTATGGCATAGGCATGCACCGTATTAAGAAAAACATACACGAATCTAGTAGAAAACACTAAATCAACCTCAAATTCTATAAGCACAACTCTAAAAGACTACAAGCGGTTGTTGCTCTCTTACTGCTCTACTTGACACACTTTAGGACACACTGATTCTTGCCCTTTATAAGAATCTAGTGCAATAAAATTGTCTAGCCTAATCCTCTTGAGTGCTCTTAATTGCTTCTTACAAGCATTGGATGGAACTCTTATGTTGGCTTGGTTGATACCTATGGCACCTTGTTTATATAGTCTCTTCCAAGGCTCTCAGACATGCAAGCAGGAGACACTCAAGTCATAATAGAATTACAACCCTAATAGCACACCTCTCTTGAGTCCCAGTCCAAGTAGAATTTGAATCATCATACAACACATAATATGAAGATGACTTAGTAGGCAAGCCATACAATGGGTTGTCTCTTAAGTTCAATTGTAAAACAACTGCATATTTCTCTCATGTTCATCTCTATCCTTCATATTATTTAAAATTCTATGTACGTGTATCAACGCAATTTCCTTTAAAAGTGAAACCACATCAAGTACCTCCTAGAAACAAGCGTAATACCCCCTCCATTCATAAATGTACATAATTTTATTGGATATTTTAATTTTAATTTGTGTATGCAAATTATAACGTCTCAATAGAAAATGTAGTGGTAATTATGACTTAAATAATATTATGGTACTCTTACTTCCTTTATATGATAGGATTTGAAAATACCAATCGTTTGTTTTTTGCCTATGGGTTTAATTTATTTTAGCATAGTATTGATAGTATCTATTACAACTTAAAAAACGCGACAAGGTTTCGTCCATAGAGGTACATCGTGTACGCGCCCGTCCCCAATAAAAAAACGTATCTATTATACGGCAAAAAAAAACGTTTCTGAAATAAAAACATATGCCGCAAAAAAAACCATCGTAAAAAAACCACCGTTCCCTTTTTTGCATTTCTAATATACATTTATATGGCAAAAAAAGGCTCCAAAATAAAAACATATACGGCAAAAAAACCACCGTAAAAAAAACCTGTTCCCGTCTGGAAAAAAATATCCTATATAGCAAAAAAAGTTTCCGAAAAAAGACATATACGGAAAAAAAGTTGTTTCTGAAACAAACTCTTCCACATCGAAAATCATATACGGCCAAAAAATACATTTAGGAAAAAAACTCTTCCACATTGAAAATCATATAAAGAACTGATTACAGGCTGATGAAACAAATCAGGCACATATTCAAATAGAGGAATTCGACAAGGGCTTTGCTGATGACAACAAAAAGATCATGCACATATTCATACACAGGAAATCTTTGCTATCCCCAATGAAACAGATCATGCAGATATTCATGCACAGACAAATGAGGGGAATAAACTCTCTCTGTGCGAAAATAAATTAATCTCCTAAAATCAAATAAAACTATTTTAATAAGATAAAAGAAGTTTATCTAAAGTAGACATATGCAACTAACAATTCCCTCAAATTCACCTTAGATAGCTGTGGTGAACACGGTGTTGCACTATAAAATGGATTTAATCGATTTCAAGTCATCATGTCAAGATCACTATTCATACTTCACTTGACACGCGGTCGTGTTCTACCCGGTTCTGATACGAAGACCAAATCTATGTGTCCGCGTCCGATACGAAGTCTTCAAACCTCACGCGTTCTCGTCCGACCCGATTCTATTACAAAGACAAAATCTATGTATTCGCATCCAATACAAAGTCCTCGTAGATCACAATTCGTGCAACGCACGGGCATTATCTAGTATTGTAATAAAAAGAGTAAAGTCTGATTTCCCCGCTAAAATTGACATCGAATTTAAAAAACACCCTCAAACTAAATACCAGACAGCATCTCCCCTTAATTTTCAAATTCAGTACTAGTTTAGGGGTGAATCGAACTTTACTCTAAAAAAAGTGGCAGATATAATATTACTTGACCTTCGAAATCCCTATACACATATATAGTATGCCGCCTAAGAAAAAGAAACACAGGAAGTATATTTCTGTATCATTTAATATCTGTGACAAGCTAAGGTGCAGTTAGTCTAACTGTTTCTTGCATACTTATTCATAGATTGGAGCCCAGGAAGGGGTACTGCAACCGGATGTGCAGCGTGAGGACGGCTTGATGGATCACCGACCAGCGTGGATCACAAAAGGCATAATGAAATCAGCAGCTGCACCACTCCAACCACAACGCGAGCCAGTTTTGGAAAGTGTGGATGGTTCGCTTTGTTATCAAGGGTCACGAAATGCATCATTTTGGGTGGCGCACAAGGCGCTGGCTTCCTTGGAGGACAACGTGCTCAAGGACTGGGCAGCCACCATCAACCTTGGCCCAGGCGTCACGGCCCTCCAGCTAGAGCTGCTATCTGTCAAGGCGATTCTTGAGTCCACCCTCGGCAAGGTAATACACAACTCAGCGCTTGAGCACTGTCTAATGATGCTTCAAGACCTCGTATATGACGCTGAGGATGTGGTGGACGAGATGGAATACTTTCACATCCAAGACATGCTGGACGCCAACCAGCATGCCGAAGGTTGCGCCCACAACCTGGACCTTAATGTGTCGCCATCTATTCATGATGAACCACCAAAGTTGAGATTTGATAGGGACAATGCCTCCCGAAGAATAGAACATATTGTAGAGCAAATGCAGCTCATTGAAAAGAAGTTCTCTAGTGCTATTAAACTATTAGGTTCTGACTGGAGCACTACCCCAAACATTGCACAAAATCGCCCCATCACCATCTCTGAAAGTATAGAGCCAAAACTGTATGGGAGGGAGCTTTTGATGAAGAGGATCATAGATGATATCACAAAGGGTAAACACTGTCATGGCGTCCTCACAGTTATTCCAATTGTTGGTCCAGGGGGCATAGGAAAGACAACTCTTGCACAACATATATATCACAATGGAGAAGTGCAAGAACATTTTGATGTCAGAGTTTGGACATGTGTCTCACTCAATTTTAATGTGAATAAGATGATAGAAGAGATTCAAAGATATATCCCTAAAGTTGATCGTGAAAGTAGTAATGGTACTGCTAGTGAGTTGATTGGGCAAAGATTGAAAAATAAGAGGCTTTTGCTTGTATTAGATGATATATGGGACTGCAGTGATGAGGATGAATGGAAACAGCTATTGGTGCCATTCAAAAAATCACAAGTACAAGGTAATATAATTATAGTTACAACTCGATTTCCAGCACAAGCACAAATAATGGTTCGGAAAAATGATCATTCAATATATTTGCAAGGTATAGAAAATAAAGAATTTGAGGAATTCTTCCTAGAAATTATCTTCGGTGATGATGATCAATCTAGAAAGGAGCATAGATTCTTGCTAGAAACTGGATTTAAGATAGCTGGTAGACTAAAGGGCTCCCCTCTTGCAGCTAAAACTGTTGGTAGATTGTTGAAAGCCCATCTTGACTTGGTTCACTGGACTCGAATCTTAGAAAGTAAGGAATGGGAGCATAGTAACGGCAAGAATGACATTATGCCTGCACTGAAGTTGAGCTTTGATTACCTATCTTCTCAGCTTCAGCAGTGTTTCTCCTACTGTGCTTTATTTCCTCAAGATTACAAATTCAAAAAAGAAGAGCTAATTAACTTCTGGATAGGACAAGAAGCTTTGCATTATTCACCACATGGTGAAAGTAAAAGAGTTGAAGATATCGGGCTAAGTCATTTGACTGAGTTGGTTAATTATGGATTTTTGGAAGATGAAGGGGAAAAGGATGGAAGAACTTGTTACATCATTCATGATCTCTTACATGAATTAGCACGAAAAGTTTCATCACTTGAATGCCTTAGCATACACACTCAATCTCAAGTGAGCTCCTTACAAATCCCGACATCAATCCGCCACTTGTCTATCAACATAGATGATACCAGTGTCAACAATAGATTGACTCAAAAAAATTGTGTGGAGGATATCAATACATTGCACACAAGATTAAAAGTTGAAAAACTGCAAACTTTGATGATATTTGGGAAACACCACGGTTGCTTTGTGAAGGCTTTTGGTGATTTATTTAGGGAAGCAAAGGCCCTTCGTGTTATTTTTCTATCAAAAGCATCCTATGATGTGGAATATTTGTTGTGCAACTTTTATAGTCTGCTCCATCTTCGCTACCTTCGAATTGAAAGTTCTTCTCTATATAAAGCCAGATTTCCCAACAAAATTTCTAGATTTTATCACATGATGGTCCTAGATGCAGAACACTGTGACATCATAGATCTACCAAGAGATGTCAGCAACCTTGTAAAATTGCGCCATCTTCTTGTTCAAGATGATACAATACACTCTAGCATCACTGAGGTTGGGAAACTAAAATCATTACAAGAGTTGCGAAGATTTATGGTCAAACAAGATGATCAAGGTTTTGAATTAAGGCAGATAGGACATTTGGAAGAGCTCTGTGGGTCACTGTGCATTGATAGTCTTGAAAATGTTCAGGTACCAGAAGAAGCAGATGAAGCAAAATTGATGCTAAAAAGCCACCTACATGAGTTGATACTACGTTGGAATGTTAATTGGTTTACTGATGATTCTGCACTCGAAAAACATGTTCTTGAAAGGCTTAAGCCAAATCGCAATCTTCAGAAGTTATCCATTACAGGGCACAGAGGAGGCACTTGCCCTTCATGGCTGGGTATGAACCTCTCACTGAGTAATCTGCAATCTCTTTGTCTAGATGATGTAAACTGGAAAACATTTCCACCTATAGGAGATTTGTGGTTAGTAAATGTGCCCCGTGAGGAAATCTCAATCAATATCCCTGAGAAGAGGTTTGGAAATTTGAGAAGGCTGAAACTTATACACTTGTCAGGGTTGAAAACATGGGCTGTACATGCGCCTTGTCAATTGTTTCCTTGTTTGGAAGTGCTTATCATTAGGGATTGCTCTCAACTTGTGGAATTATCATTTTCGCATTCTGCTGGTTGTTGTCAACAAGGGAAAGATGCAAATGACAATTTATTTCCTAGACTGAAGGAGCTCCATATTAAGAGATGTCCACAACTATTGTCATTTGCACCCATTCCTTGGACTGAAGCTCCGTGCTACATTGAAATAACAGGAATTTCATCTCTTGATATATTGGTTTATGGAAACGAAAATAGTTATTTGGACATTAAGGGAAATCATAAGGATACAAATGATAGCACGGTTTGGGATGTGCTAGCTTTTCATAATCTAACTGGACTGAAGAACTTATGCCTGCACTGGTGCCAATCTCTGCCACTGCATTACTTACAAATGCTATCATCCCTAAGGACCCTACGTATGTCTTATCCGAGTAATGTCTTTCCACTTGTTGAAGCTGACAGCCATGTCAAATACCAGTTTCCAGTTGAATCGCTGGCCATCGAGGGCGTGTGGAGTCCTAGTGGGAAAGAGTTGACACAGCTACTTGTCTACTTCCCAAAGCTCTCAGATCTGGAGCTGTGGTTCTGTGCAAAGGTAACAGGGCTGGCTGTGAATGTGAGGGGACAGCACGCAACAGAGACGCCCGGAACAACAACTTCAGCTAACAAAGAGGATCAGCAGCAGGATGCAAGAGCAAATGTCGACGTAATAGTCGCATCAGAAGAAGCAGAACATGGCCTATTGATTTTGCCTCCCCAACTGCAGGTCCTGAAGATCCATGGCAGCCCAAAGCTGCGACTCCTTGGCTCCAATCCACATGACGACAACAACAAAGATGGACGAACTGGGCAAGGAGGAGGGCTCTGGGGTCTAAGCTCCCTCCGAAGGCTGGAAATCATGCGTTGCCCCGAGCTCCTGTCCTCATACTCGTCTTCATCCTTCTCTTCTTCTTTCCCCTTGCCCAACTCCCTGGAACACCTTAGCATTTCAGGAGAGATGGGCACGGGGGCTCAACTGCCTCTATCAAACCTCACTGCTCTCACAAGTTTATCCATACACCGATGTGGGGATTTAAGAGGCGTGTGGTCTCTCCTCGCCCAAGGCCATCTCAACGAATTATCTGTTCGAGGAAACCCCAATTTTTTTGTTGATTCCGAACAGGAGATTCCATCCTGTTCCTCAAAACTGCAGAGGCTTACCATAGATGATGTGGCTGGATTCACTGCTGCGGCCATTCGTCATAGCCCGCTCTTTTCCTCGCTCACCACATTGGAAATTTGTGAGGATAATAAGGTGAAGAGCTTCACAGAGGAGCAAGAGGCCCTTCTGTTTGTCGACTCCCTCGAGCATATCAAATTTATTGGCTGCCACAACCTGCAGTCCCTCCCTGAACGGCTACCTAGACATCCCAACCTCAAGAGGTTACACATCTGGAAGTGCGGAGCAATCCAGATGCTGCCCAAGGAGGGCCTTCCAAGCTGCCTGCGATATTTAAATGTCCGTGACAGCGGAAGCGAGGAGCTAAGGAGACAGTGCCGCGAGTTGATAAATATCATTCCAATAGTCCAAGTCTGACAAACCCAAGGTAACAAAGAGGTGGAACTTCCCACCCATCAATTTCCCTTGCTTCTCCCTAACCCCATAAACCTCCGTCATTCTTGTTTCGTTTATTTGGCCACAATTGATGTTTTCTTCTAGGTAATCCGCTTGTTTCCATCTGCTGTGCAGGGCATTTCTTCATATTGTGTATTATTGTCCTCTGGATTCTCTCTCTATCTATCCACAATTTTCAATTATAATAATGTATGAATCTCTGCACATGCCTTCCACCCTATACATCAAACTGGTAAGTGCCTGTGAAACCACCTCTGTAGTCTCATACTGTCGTACAGCTATTTAGGGGGTGTTTGGTTCCCATGAACTAAAGCATTTTAGATTAAAATCTGCACTTTAGTTGGATTAAACAGCCAAACACTTGGACTAAAGTCATTTAGTCCTTTAGTCTACAAAACTTGACTAAAATGGACTAAAAGGTGTTGGGGACTCCCATGCCCCTCATTTATTGTCCTCTCTCTCTCCCAGGATAAAAGAGTGGATAAAATGGTATTTCTTTCACATCATTTAATGACTTTAGACCATTTTAGTTCAAGGAACCAAACACCACTTTAGTCCACTTTTAGTTCATGTACTAAAGTGGACTAAAACTTTAGTCCATGGACTAGAGAACCAAACAGGCCCTTACATGTTGAGAATGTTGCTTATTTGATGCTTGACCCAGTTATTTATGCACTTATTAATGCCTTTTGTTTCGTGTGTAACAATAACCTATATACGTTCTCGATCAGGTGAATATGTTTAATGTACTCCTGCCTTGCAGTTCTGAATCTCAGAAGATTTATTGAAATACGGATGCTGCTGTATGTTTTTTTTTTCTAATCAATGGTCTGCACTCTTATGAAAGCCTGTTCAGCAATAAATGGTTTCAGCCTTCCCATGTCTCTTGGATCTGAGAAAATATGATTGCTCTACTTCTAGTCTACTAGGCAAGGTAATAACCACATTTCATAAAGTATGCTCTGTTTACGTTGAACATAATTGTATATACTCATTCCCCTGCAATCCAATAATGCATAATAGTGCAACCCGCTTGTTTTCATCTACTGTGCAGGGCACTTCTTCATATTGTCCATTATTCTATCCTTCGGATTCTCTACAATTCTGAATTCTAAAGAATGAATACCTCTGCACGTGCCTCCCACCCTTTACATACTCAGAATGTTTGCTTACTTGCTGATTTGATGCTTGTTCGATTATTTATGCACTTTTCCCTTATTAATGCCTTCTATTTTTTGTGTAACAATAACCGTATATATGTTTTCGATCAAGTGAATATGTTTAATATACTCCTGCCTTGTTGTTTCAATCTCAGAAGATTTACTGAAATATGGATGCTGTGTATGATTTTTTCTAGTCAAACAGTTTGCACTCTTAGGAAAGCAAGTTCAGCAGTAAATGGTTTCAGTCCTCCCATGACAGCTGAAAATCATGCGACAATGCAAATTTTGTGCTCTTTGCTTTTCCCACATCTCAATGGCTATTGAAACCTCAGAGGTGGGCAGTGGAAAAAATATCTTTTGATCACTGAATTTACAAATAGCAGACACAATCCTGAAACCATAATATTTTTCTCAAATGTCAAACAAAAACTGGACACTTGTGAAACTTTGTCCATGCAAAACTGACATAATACTATTTTATTATGACAATATATTCTTAAAAAAGATGGGTGAAACAGGTCGAAATGTTTTCCTGGATAGATGCTGCTGCTCTGCGCCTGGGTTGGTAGAGGATGCTGTGTCCTGGTGGAGTTGTGGTGGTTGGCAGAGGCAAAGATGGATGAGAAGCTTCCATGGTCTCCTTCGACATGTTAAGGTGTCGCTTTGGTGTCGAACAGGCGGAAGAAAATAGCATTGCTGATGCCTACTGATGAGATCAAAATCAGTTTTGTATGCTGGCATGCTGCTTTTGGGTGTAATAAGGTCATTTCCTCCTGTTCCTTGGACTGAAGCTCTGTGCTCCATTAATATACAAGAAACTTCATCTCTTGGTAAATTGGTTTGTGAAAAAGAAAACAGTTATGAATATGGTTTGAAAATTTGAGGAAAGAAGGATACAAATGATGGCACGTTTTGGAATGTGCTGGCTTTTCATAATCTGACTGGACTGAAGGTGTGAAGGCTGCACAACTGCTAATCCCTGCCACTGTATTACTTACAAATGCTATCATCCCTAAGGAAACTAGAGATGTCTTGTTTCAGTAATGCCTTTCCATTTGTTGAACCTGACAGCCATGTCAAATATCCGTTTCCAGTTGAATCATTGGCCATCACGAAGTGGAATGCCAGTGGGAAGGAGTTAACACAGCTACTCACCTACTTCACGAAACTCTCAGATCTGGAGCTGTGGGAATGCAAGAAGCAGGTAACAGGGCTGGCTGTGAATGTGAAGGGGCAGCGGGTAACAGAAACACCCGGACCATCATCTTCAGCTAACATTAACAAAGTGAAGCAGCAGCAGGGCGCAAGAGCAGCAGAGAAGCAGCAGCTTCAGAAGAAGCAGAACGCGGCCTTTTGCTTTTGCCTCCCCAACTACAGGAGCTGCGGATCCACGACTGCCTAGAGCTGAGCCTCCTCAGTTCCAATCCACATGACGACAGCAACGAAGAAGATGGACGAACTGGGGAGGAGGGCTCCGAGGCAGCGGCGGATGCAGAAGAGGATTGAAGAGGGGGCTCTTCTTCTTCCTATCTTTATTTTTCCTTTCCTCCCCCTTCTTCAGAAGAGGATTGAAGAGGGGGCTCTTCTTCTTCCTATCTTTATTTTTCCTTTCCTCCCCCTTCTTCTTCTCCCTCACACGCTCCATATTTCCAGGCTGGAGCCCCCACAGCCCCCTGTAGATCCGCCCGTCTAACCTCCCTCCGAGGGCTGCGAATCAACCGTTGCCCCAAGTTCCTGTCCGCCTACTCGTCTTCATCCTTCTCTTCTTCTTTCCCCTTCCCCAACTCCCTGGAACACCTTGATATTTGGGGAGCGAAGGGCATGGATATGCCAGTGCCTGTATCAAACCTCACCTCTCTCACAAGTTTAGACATATACAAATGTGGGGATTTAAGAGGCGAGGGATTGTTGTCTCTCCTCGCACAAGGCCATCTCACCAAATTATCTATCACGATAACGCCCAGTTCCTTTGTTGATTCCGAGCCCTCACAGTCACAGGTGCATGAACAAGAGATTCCATCATGTTCCTCCAAACTGCAAGAGCTCAAAATAGGTGATGTGGCTGTATTCTCTGCTGCGTCCATTCGTCGTAGCCTGATCTTTTCCTCGCTCACGAGATTGGAAATTTTTGGGGATCATAAGGTGAAGAACTTTGAATTATAATCCTCAGGTTCTTAGCTCTAACACTTGAGAGTTCTGAACTATACTATTCTTATTTCTTTTTTGAAGAAAGGTGTAACACGGCTGTTGGGAGGGGGTGGCGGTTATGGAGGAGGAGGGCGGCGGCTAGGGTTGGCAGCGTGGGGAGAGGAGGGGCGGCGCAGGGAGAGCGAGAAGGGGTGGCGGCAACAGAGAGGGATAGAGGAAGGAGCAATAGCTCTATTCTTGCTTGATTAGATTGATTACATCCTCCCTGTATTTAGTTGTATTCCAAGCAACTAAGAGAGATATCCTTATAGATTGGATTCTCCTTTCCTAGACAAACCAAACTCTAATCTCCTAGTTTACTTCTTATTCCTGTTTTTATTCTTCTAATTCCTTCCGAGAGAAGGGAGGCGTAGAGGTGGCACCGCTGCTCTTGGGCGCGCGCCCCCTTCCTGGGCCACGGCTGGGCCAATGGCCCTGGGCTGGGGATGTGCTAATGGACGTGTTACAATAGGACTGATCTGTTGCTCCAACGTGGTATTTTCTATTCTTCTTAGATGCACTTGTCAAATTGCTCAACTGACCGAGTGTAATGGACCTATGTCTGTATGTGTTCCTCACCACTTGCAGGCATTCCAATTTCGATTCGGTAGAAACAGGAGATTACACTGACATTGTCATGCTACTATTCCTTTTGCAAAGAATCTGGAGTCACATATTAACCAAAATAATAATATGCCAATTCTTTTCTTTTTAGTGGGATGGCCAAAAACAATGCAATTCTCATCAAATAAAGCACAAGATAAGATGAAAGTTGTTGAATCATGCTACAGTGCAAAGTATTTGCTTTGCCCACGTCTCAATGACTAGTGAAGCTTCAGAGGTGGGCAGCCAAAAAAAAACATTTAGTTTTGATCACTGAATTTCCAAATAGCAGACACAATTCTGAAACCGTAATATATTTTTCTGAAGTATCAAACAAAAATTGTAAAATAATTGATGAAGAATGACTAACTAAACACTTGTGGAACTTTTTACATGTAAAAAAAACATGATTCTATTTCATTATGAAGGTATATTCTTAAATATTGCTGCAAGAGTGGAACTGTTTTCCCGGATGCTGCTGCTCAGACATTGCTGAAGAATGTTTATTTGGCCACAATTGATCTTTTCTTCTGGGTAAAACGCTTGTTCCCATCTGCTGTGCAGGGCATTTCTTCATATTATGCATTATTCTATCCTCTGGATTCTCTCCCTATCTATTTACAGTTCTGAATTCTAAAGCATGAATCTCTGGATGTGCCTTCCACCCTGTACCTCAAACTGGTAAGTGCGTGTAAAATCACCTCTGTAGTCTCATACAACTATTTACGTGTTCAGCATGTTGCTTAGTGCTTATTTGATGCTTGTTCTGGTTATTTCTGTACTTTTCCTTTATTAATGTCTTTTGTTTCGTGTCTAACAATAGTCCTTTATATGTTTTCGATGTGGTGAATCTCTTTAACTAGTACTCCTGCCTCGTTGTTCTGAATCTCTGAAGATTTACTGAAATATGGATGCTGCTGTATGATTTTTCTAGTCAATGGTTTACCCTCTTAGGAAAGCTAGTTCAGCAATAAATGGATTCAGTCTTCCCATGTGCCTTGGATCTGAGAAAAAAATGATTGGCTCTACTTTTATAAAAGGTAACAAAAACATTTAAAAAATATGCTATGTTTATGTTGAATATGATTCTTATATACCCATTTATATTTTATCAATTTGAAAACTTATATCCTGTATGACCCTTTTTTTTTACTTTTTTCATATTATGTGCAACTGTCTTCTTGCATTGCATCTCAAAAACCTGCAATCCAATAATGCAGTAAAATTCGTAATCAGAGGTTTGCTATGATTCTCAAGTGATCTAGCAGTTTAGTAACACCCTCAGCTTGTAAAACCTGCTTCAACTATCTCTATGTTGCCTTGAGGACCAGAGGCACTGCTGTAGAAAAAATAAACGCATCGATTTTCTTTTGACTCTGAAACTTCTTATTGGTCCTTACTCCTTAGCTCTAATATTGAATAGTTCTGAACTCTACTATTCTTATTTCTTTTCTGAACATAGGGCTTACCTGTTGCTCCATCTTGGTGATTTCTATTCTTCTTGGATGCACTTGTCAAATCGCTTAACGATTGAGTAATGGACGACCCTATGTCTGTATGTGTTCCTCACTACTTGCAGGCATTCCAATTAGAGCAACGAAACAGGAGATTACACTTACATTTTCATGCTAATATTTCTTTTGCAAAGAATCTCCATTAGAACCACTTATTAACCAAAATAATAATATGCGAATTCTTTTATTTTTAATGTAACAGCAAAAAACAAAGCCAGTCTCATCAAATAAAGCACAAGATAATATGGCAAGCATCATGCTACAATGCAAATTATTTGCTTTGACCACATCTCAATGACTATTGAAGCCTTAGAGCTAGGCAGCCAAAAAAACATTCAGTTTTGATCATTGAATTTCCAAATAGCAGACACAATTCTGAAACCGGAATATTTTTCTCAAGTATCAAACAAAAACTGTAAAATAATTGATGAAGAATGAACAACTAAACACTTGTGAAACTTTTAAAATAACATGGTTCTATTTTATTATGAAGGTATATTCTTAAATGTTACTGAAAGAGTGGAAATGTTTTGCTGGATGCTGCTGCTCAGCCGTTGTTGGGCTTGGGTAGGCGTAGGATCCTTTGTTCTGGTGGTGGTCTGTGGAGGCAGAGATGGCTGTGCAGCTTCCATGGGCTCCTGCGACATGTTAAGGTGTTCCTTTGGTGTGGAATAGATGCCTACTGGAGAGATTGAAATCAGTTTTCTATGCTGCTTTGGGGGTAAGGCCAAAGATAAGAAAAACAATTAGAATCTCTTTCTATGAATTTCTGCCAATTTGGTTTCTTCCACAGCTATGGAGCCTTCTTGTGCTAGATGAATTCAACAACTTGTCAACTGAAATGCTGACTTACTCAACTGAAAGGAGGTCAGTTTGTGTCCAGATGCTTCGAGCCGAAGGTTTTACCAACCAAATTACATTGTGATCTTGATAATAATGCAACAGCAATTCATGATATGTACATCCAGTGATCATCAATCATTGAATTATCAGCATGCAACTGAGCCCTCAACAAGTGAATGACAGGAGCCTTTCCCCTCTCCCTCACGTAAGTCTTCTGTTTCCCTTGTCTTGTGCCTACTTTTTTCCATACTTTTTCATGCGTGCCAAGTGACACTGAATGGAATGATCATGAATATGGCAGCATCTTTATCCCCATGCGACACATCAGCTTCGTCTGAAGCTCCATGTGTGGAGTAAGCATCATGAGGCTTCCTACTAAATGGTGCTAACTGAAGTTTTGTCGGGTTTTGGAATGCATCCCATGTTGAGGATATCGGCATCATCAACCCTGCCTTTTCTTTGTTCTCTATTTACTTTGGGGACAAATGGAAAGCATGGTCTTCAGGCTATAAGAAGAGTTCTCATATATTAGGCAGATACATAGAAGGTTTCTTCTAGATATGGCAGCTCTGAAGGTGAAATCAGCATTGTGCCTCAGCCTGCTGATCATGACACTCCTCTTGGATCCAAGTAAGTCCATCCTTAGACAAACAGGGCTAAATTTTATAGCACATCGAAGGCTTTACACTCCAATTTCATAGAACAAGATTAATTGTTTCCAAAGAAGAACAAGATTAATTGCTTCCAAGCTATCTGATTCTTTCTTGGCAGCAAATTAAATTAATTTTTCAAACAAAACAAATGAAATTATTAAGTTGTAACTCTTGATGGTAAAAAGGTATGTTGTAATTTAGTAATATTTTTGCTCTCTATTGCAGGCTGTGGGAATAAGGAAGCGTGTGACGAGTGGTCAAGTGATACATACCGGATGCTGCTCCTGTGTAGCAGCAAAACATGCAGCAAGCACTGCATTGGCGAGGGCACCACCAGGGGGAAGTGTGGCTTCCTCATCTTCAGGTCCTTCTGCTTCTGCACCAAAGAATGCGACTGAACACAGTCATCTGAACTGCAACTGTGACTTGCCATTTTCAGCTGTAATGATGACTTGCTGATGATTAAGAGCAAGGTTGTGATCTGTTGTGGCTACTCAGATCTTTGAATGAATCAATAAACAATAAATCATTTTGCCAAATACTTGTGGATTTCGGTTCATTTTCCATCTAGTGAGATATATTGTTCCATGCACTACTCTTGAGCCATGACAGTGGTGGTTTAAAGCATAGGAGTATATTGCAGTAAGTAGAATCGATATTTAAACTTCACTTTTTTAGTCGTTGGAAGTGTAAGATATAATCTGCTGCTGATCCCTCTCTGATTTCCTGCGCAACAGAGTTGGCACTTTGGTCAGCTCTTTGCTGTCCTTAATCCTGTTCAAGTATGGCAATAGGCCATCACTTGTACCAGGCTGTATTCTAGGTAGTAGTGGCTTAACTCAGCCATGTCTTAGTAGTTGAGGCTGACATCGGCCATGTCCTAGAGGACATTGTAGTAGGTGTACTAGTGTACCTTGTAAGGTACTAGTAGATTGTATATATACTACACCCAAGGCAATGGAAATCTTAGTTCAGTTTGCCACATTCAGTTTTCAGAGGTCAGTTCAGAGCTGGTGTGTGCTCTGTGCTCAACCCTTTCTTCTACCTCTAGCCGTGGTGTGTGTGAGTGAGCTGGGTGAGCTGATTGCTCACCTGTGCAGGAAGATCGAGGGCCAACAGGAAGGTCCAATTCATCATATCGTTGTTTGGACCATGCTTACACAAGTTGCTGATACCAAATACAAGCATTGTAGACAAGAGAGACCCATGCACAAAGATATGCATACTGCTTTTATTCTGCTGTTGTTCAGGCAATGCTTCAGCGTCTTCCAACTCAGAATGCTACTATTTGCAATGGGAAAACCAGATCTACACTTTTCTGTGTTTGATGAGAGCATGCACATTTGCAACAATCTCAATAATCAAGCAAAACCTGCCGAAAAAACATTGCAAGTACATCCAGATTGCTGATCCGCCCCCCCCCCACCACACACACACGCACACAAGTCAGCAGGTGCACAAATGCAAAATTGATCCATGTTAAAAACAGCAAACTTTATTGATCAATCCGAATGTTAAGACATAGTTCCCACACTACGGGGGTGTGTGGTATCTCCTCCTAAACTTTAGTCGTTGTCCTATCGGATGTTTGACACATACATGGAGTATTAAATATAGACTAATTACGAAACTAATTGCACAGCTTGCGACTAATTTGCGAGACGAATCTTTTAAGCCTAATTAGTCCATGATTTGACAATGTAGTGGTACAGTAATCATGTGCTAATGACAGATTAATTAGGCTTAATAAATTCATCTCGTGGAGTACTGACGGATTCTGTAATTTGTTTTTTTTATTAGTATCCGAACACTCCATGCGACACCCTCACGTGATACCTCCTAAATTTTAGTCACCGAATCCAAACACCCCCTATATATGGACAACCAGCTAAGCTTATAAAAATGAAGCGGTTCACAGACACCATTTATCATGCAGTAACATTCTGCATGAGCTTACATAACAAGATCATCTGCAATAGCGCAACAAAGATGTTTCAGATCTTCAAAGGTGCTATCCTCAAGTGAAACAGAGCCCATTCTGTTGGAGATTTCAGTCTCAGAAGCATTATCAAAACCAAATTTGGTGTGGTAAACAAAGTAGCCGCCACACTCCCAAGCAGACAGACAGCAGCCAGTAACCAGATTTTTCACCTTATAAACCAAGTATTAGATATTCACGTGTTTCCATTCAATGGTTGCTGAAATAAAATTGTCTAGAAATGGAATGAAAGGTTTAATAGATTTTACCTGCGGAAACAAGAAAACGTTTGTGCCATTGTTGGAAATCAGCAGGCTGTATGCAGTAGCATTGTCATGCAGAGAAAAGGATATTTCACTAAAAACACCGACAAGTGTTTTTAGGTTGGTGCTGGTGAACACAAGAGCTTTTAGGGGGTAGTCAACTGTTTCAGACACAATAATGTCTGATCCAGCCTTTCCTCATATACCGTGAAAGTGGAGGCAGACTCCACTGGTAAAGGGATTGCAAAGTAACATGCCTGCAAGATGAGACAAAACATGACACTGGATTCTCCTCAACCATCTACTGCAAGAAGCCAAACAGGTGATTCTACCACCTAAACAAATCTTACTACAGAGAACTTGTCTACTCAGAGGTAATTTATTATAATAGAATATTAGAACCATTGCTCAAATATATGCCCAATCTGCCTTATGAACTTTACACATGGCCAAAAAGAAGAAGAATAGAAGCAACAAAGGGAATACATTTATTGAGGTACACTGTAACGACTCATTGTGGTATAAACTGCATAACGATGGTTTAATGATAACTGATGAGTTTATACTGCCAAATAGGAGAACAATTAACTCTATAAACATATAGATGAAATAAGTTGGAGATTATAGGAACTGGAAATAGGTAAACATTACCTGAAAAATCATGTGACCTGACACTATAGATGTTCCATTGTCAAAGAAAACCCTGAATGCTGCATTATTTACTTCAGAGGAAATTTTTGTAGCCAGTCCAATCATCCTTTTGTCCCAATAGCAAGATAGTTGATTGATTGCACTTGGGACCAAGAAGATATGACCATATTCAACAGGATATGCCTTCAGGGAGAAAAAATGTCCATCAGAAGGGAACAAATAAAATGCAGATACCAACTAGCATGGAGCAAGGAAGGGAAGGCAGATATTTGTAGCAACACTAAACCATACATTTGCAATCACAAGTAGTCCATCCTTTGGTAGTGATACTGAAGAAACAACCTCAGGTCTATCATTTTCTCCTTGTGAAATGCCCAGAAGCAATCCATCATAACTCTTCATACTATTTGGCTTCAAGCATGCGAAAGACTCAAAGAACTTGTCGTATTCCTTCAGTGAAAATGAATCCCATTTATTGTTCAGCTGATCCACAAAATTTCTTCCACCTGCAATGACCTGTACAGCAGTTCAAATTTGATGATTCCAAACAAACTCAGTGCCACCGTATTGTAAATAGGGTCGATGGAGCAGTCATAGTTTTTGACAGGGAAATATAATAGTACCATTTAAATTTCACAATTATCAATGCTCTATAGTATATCACAAACCCCCTGACAGCCAACACACCTTTCCTATCCACCCACAAACTCAACTGCTGGTTTACTACTGTAGCCAATTCTAGGTTTGATAGAGTATAGGATCTCAAATAGGCCATCTAGTCAAGGTTTTGTCCTTAGATGCCAATATATGTGCCTTATTGCTTATACAAATATGTGAACAATTGTGGATAATCTCTCTTAACAGCCACCACCAAAGGCAATGTTTAGTACTGGTCAGTGAGAGATACGACAATTTGAGCAATTGCAAAGCGCAATGACATTACAAGCATAAGCAAGAGAAAGATAATTCCAGCATATGGCGGAGTGAATGTCTGGCAGAGTTGTGGAGATATTACACTGCTACCATGCCACTATGTTGGTGTGGCCACTGGCCAGAACACTGCTATTCTGCACGTGGGGTGGGTGCTGAGGTGAAGAAGATGCTGTACACGCAGAAAGTGTTAACTATCACCACAAGTTAGAAAGCAACTCGATGTTGCATACTGCAAACTGATGCAAACAAACAGACACCATTTAAGGAGTTCGCTAAACTCTCAACAATGGAAGAAATGAAAAAAAAACTTTGATGACCTTAAGTTGGCAAGCAGTAACATCATAGTCCAAGCAGCCCTTCCAAGCAAAATTATCCCACTGGTGCAAAGAAAAAGCATGGATTAAAACATTGTTTTGAGAATTCATAAAATTGTACAACTCCAGAAATTACAAAACCTGAGCAAGAAGGATGGTTATCAAGCAAACTTGGGCCATCTTGTTCAAAGCATGCAAGGCTTTCAAGTTTATCATTTCTGTGTTCTGCACCAAATCGATATAGATGTATCTTCACACCTGAAGATGCAAAGAGGAGTTTAAGACTAGCATCACAAAAAAAAACTGAATACATCAGTTATTCTAAATGCAAATACCAGCGAGAATAGCTGATTTGGTTCTACAAAATTGTCTAGGTGTTTTAATGTTTTATCTAAACCAACCTATTCAAGAATCAACCAGGCACATATTATAAACTGAAACTGTAACATGACTAATCGATGCAACTCATAAAATAGAGAATTTTACTACAGAGAAGAGGAGGCAAAAAACAGAAAATTAGTAATAAAAGAGATAAAAACCATTTGAAAGCAACTACTGCTTACCTTCAGATTGATCCAGATGAGAGTCCTTTCTCAGAAACGAATATTCACCTTCTACCTTGGTGGCCGACACCATAGTTATGATGCTTAGTTTATGCAATACTATCTGAATATCTACAATACTAACAATCCTAATTCAGGCTTCAGCAGCAGCACCACCACCACCACCAGCAAGGTAGGTCAAATCAGAAGGATGCCCCCCTGCAGATGGGAGGGCACCACGACCACCGTGAAAAGAAGGGGATGCAAGTAGAAACTTAGGAAAGCACTGGGCACATTGTCTTCCCCTTCGTAGTGTAGTACGGGATCCTATCCTTGGAGCCGTGGTTGATCTTCTAAAGCCAGCCCTATTGGACCAGCTATCCACCTTTGCAAGTCCAACTTAGTTTTTCAGGGGCTTCCCAAAGAAGCTTGAATTGTAAATTGCAGTGTCTTTTGCTGGACAATCTGAAAAGGAGCAAGATTCAATGTCGGGTCAAAATCTTAGCAGAAGTCTTGAGAGAGAACATTGTTTGAGGCTGAGAGTAATCTTCCAACATGTTTTATCTATGGAGGACATATATTATGATATGCCTAAACAAAGTGGCAAACACTAGAAATGCTATATCAAATCAATAAGCAAGTATTTTTCTGTTTATAAGTTCACAATTGGTGCTTTGAAGCCTCTGCAAAACCGTATTTCCAGGCCTTGAGCAAACTGAATAATGCATATACATTGCTCCTTAAGTAAAGGATGACATGACGCAGTGACAAACAACAGATGAGCATGTCAGACTGTCTGCACATGACTGATGCCAACAAGTACGACACATTTTCCTGACATTTGAAGTCTTGAACTCTACAGAATGCAATTCTGAATATGCTTTCATGTTATCTAATAATATGATGCCTGCACACATTCTCATTCGCCTGGACTGATAGCATGAGAAAGGGTAGTAAAGATAAACCGTTACATTTATCACTACAATGTAACAAGCCGGCTAAAATCAGGAGCTCCCAATTGATCATCAATTCCCGTAACTCGAGAACACAAACGCACACATAATCAGAATTCCGTCCCTAGGAAAACAAATCTCTTGATAAACCCACACAGTTATCAGATCGTTCCATGACGCCCAAAGAACTTTTTTTTTTTTTTGCAATGCTCCTCCTAATAAACTCGAGCGATTGAATCTAAGTGAATGAATCAGACTAAACTACAGACGAGAAAATTGTAATTATAGGCCAAACAATGGGCTTATTGCAATTTTCTCACTACAGACTAGTCCCGCCCACTCGCTGACAGTGCGACAGCGGTCCCGTCCGACGGCCATTCGATCTGGCACCACCATCCAGGCATCCACCCATCGCCAACAAACAATCTGGCACCAACGTCTAGGCATCCAACCACGAACACGTGCAGTCTTTTGCTACCAGGAGACGTGCAGTATATTGCTACGAGGAGAGCGACCGCACGAACTGGGAGATTCCGATAAATCGAAGCGGATCAAAGAGGGGCGGATTGGATGAAGAAATCGGTACCCGGAAGCCAGAAGCGAGGCGGAAGCGTCGCTCGGGCGCGTGGTGTCCGTCCTAAAGATAGGCAACGGGCCCGATACCCGACGGTCCATCGTCATGGGACGGGAATGAGATGCCGTGGGCATTTAAATGGATAAGAATTCATTTCCGACCGGTATAGCGGGTACGAGAACGTTCCTGTTTATCCGTCCCTGTTACCTGTTGAGGAACTCGACTATTTGAGCTGTCATGTGAGTATTATGTCTAAAGAAGCTCAACATAGGTATTTTGGCTCAAAAACAATCATATATATAGTTTGTGTGTTCTAGGAACCCTAGTTCAATTTTTTCTCATCATCTCTGCCAGCAGCACAAGCACGCCTGCCTCACGAGCGCTCGTGCCCCTCGCTTCCTCAGTTCGGTCTCTCTGTCACCTTTGCTCGTCCTCCTCGCAACCTCGCTCCTTCTCCTCGGCATCTTCGAGACTCCGACACTTATACTCGGGTGAAGAAGAAACGTCTCTGATTGCAAAGTTGCGACCCCAAGTGTTCTTGTTTATCGGGTATGCAGTACCCGTCGGGTATCTGTTACCCGACCGATGCCCGACGAGTACGGAGATGGGCAAGAATCTATACCCGAGATAATTAACGGGAACAGGATGAATTCTCCGTAGCGGGGAAGAGAACGTTCCAGCGATACCCGATGGGTACATTCCCGTTGCCATCCTTGGTCCGTCCAGGAGGAGACGGAAATGGAGGGGGAGGAGAAACGTGTGGCCGGTGGAGTTGGACTGTTGGAGACTGCAAAAGTGGTGGACTGGCACTCGGCTTCTTTCTTCAACAAGAAAATCATGCCAAAACATGTTTATTTTCCTTTTTACCTTTTTTTTATAATTATTATTTATTGGCCTTTTACCAACCCTGGTGACTGGCTTTTGGCAATCGTTATTTTTATTTTGAGAAAAAAATCAAAAATAAATTATTGTTTTCATTTTATTGCTATAATCTCATCATATACTTTGTAATTGTTTGCTCATGTATTTATGAGAAAAGCTAAGAGCTAACATTTGAACAAACAAGTCAAAATTATCAATCATTTTGTAAATTTTGGCTAGTAAGAGAAATTTGTATATTTGAGGCCCAAAGAAATAAGTGTCACATTTTGCCAGACTCAACCATTTTTTCGGAACTTCAAACACTAGGGCTTCTCTATTTGCAATTCTGGTTATTATATACATTGGTCCTATTTAGTCTTGAGTTTAGCTCCAGATCCAAGCTTTACCTCATATATCTGAAATTTGTATACTATATAACTGCATATCTCACTTTTTGAGGAGCCAATTTTTTTAAGTTTGACCAAACATATAAAAAATTATCAATATTTAGTATGCATAATAAATATTATTAGATTAATCGTGGTAAATATTTTCATAAACTTATTTAAATATATATTATTTTCTATAAAGTTAGTCAAACTTCAAAAAGAAATTGATTCCTCAGAAATTGAGATGTATGGTTATTTTGAGAAGGAGAGAGTATTTAGTAGATATAAGCAAAATCGTAATCTTTTACCATGGCAGTTCTCCCTTTCATATAAATAGTTACCCATGTAGCTGGTTTGACAACTTTGGATATACAAAGATTTATATTCAGTTCCATTTCTCTACACTTGGAATTTGCATACCTCCAAAGAACACTAGAGAGGGTCCGAGTATCCATATAAAACTTTTGTCGGGCCCCTTAGGTCGCCGCTAAGGTACGTTGTAACGGACATTTTGTCTACCTTAATACAAAGACGCGCAAACCTTTTGCGTGATAGAGAAAAAATTACCTTGCTTTAGTTCTCTTTTTAAGTCTCACCCATATGGGTTTCTAGTAAGCTAAATCCAAATATCATTACATGTGCTTTCATAATCTTATATTAAATGTTGTAGCTAAAATGTAACAGAAAACAGTGATTAGAGTTATTACCATAAAAATCAACGATTATTTTTTTAACGGTCAAGGGAATAGAGAGGACACTTTGTCCCCACATGAAATCCTTATTGATTGATTAACCTGTTAGGATAATAGGCAATTTCCATGTCATTTTAATTCCATAAATCAACAGCATGATGATGACATATAAACAATTATTAATCATTGTAATCATGATATCGATTATATCCATGGTGAAAATACATGCTAGATCATATATCATGTGAAACTTATAAAGATCAAAAGCATGTGAACTTGATTCATGAATAACAGAGAGAAACAGATGGCATGATATACATCTCATATCTGCAACAAGCATAAAGCTATATACGGTACAACAGAACTGTAAGAAGGAAACACATATGCAGAGCATATTTCTAGCATGAACAGACATAAGCATATTTCTAGCATGAACAGATATAAGATATGAAGCAAACTGATGAACTGCTGAAACATGTAGAACATAAAACAGAAAGATGATGAAACAATCATACCCTCCCATCCGCGATTCTGAAGTTCCAGCAACGTCCCTTGACATGCCGTAGAAGAAGAAGGTGTTTCCTCCTCCAGGAAGAAGATGGTGACGCCGGCGATCGGGAAGAAGACGACGTAGGTGTACGGAGACGGAGACTCTTCGGGCAGTCGCGTAGACGCTCCCCAAAAACCTAATTGCCGATCCCCCGAGCAAGGTCTCGAACGACAAGGGCTTCGGAGGCACCTGCCCTCTCGCTTCTCCGTGCGCGCAGAGTTACGAGATGAGGAAGGCCATCGAGCAACTGAATCGTATCTCTGGATGAGTACTCTCTCTTTAACTGGAGTTGGAAGATTAACAGGAAAAGCCGAGAGGTCCCGGAGGAATGCGCCAGGACGGGAAGATGGAGAGACTCCGGGAGATCAGGAGTCAGACTGGCTTCAAGTTGAAACTCCCGTGGTTAGTGGGTATTAAAAAGATAACACGCCACGCCCGCCTGCCGGCCTGCCTCGCCACGAGCCCGGGCCCGGCCCGGCCGGCGGCGGCGGCGGCGCGCGCGCGCGTGTGGCACGCCTTTGTCCGTTTCTCAACTTCTCAAATTAGATGGATCAATTCCAATCATTTAAGTTGAGTCAACGTCCTTTTAACTTCCAATCCGGTATAAATAGTAATACCCACAATTACAAGCCATAGAGTTATTGATTTATTAAATTTATAAATGGGCCTAGCCCATAATAAATCCAAAGGGTCAAAATAACACAAATGTTTTGCACTAGGTGTAGGGCAAGGTGGTAAAGTAGAGGGGAGGGATTTTTGGAACTAGATCAGCATATTACATGCATCATTTTAAAAAAAATAAACTTGACCTTAGGGAAAGTGTCCCTTGAGATATGAGTATTTTATTAAGAATACAGCGAGTGACCTTAGGCAAAAACAGAACCATGAACGGATGAACCCCAGCCATCAAATAGCATAGCGAGCGACCTTTTTTTGTACACATGTGTACACATGTTCTCATTACATGCGTAATAGACGAGAACCATTCAACTCGATGTATTGATCTCGGGATGAAATAAAATATTTATTTTCAAAAAGAAAAAAGTGATAACTGTCTGGACCTCAAGTGTGTCGG